ACTTGAAATGGACTGTCTCCTTGAGGTTGCAACTTTGACTTTCGTTACTTTGGAAAATGCTCTTTTCTGAAGTGCACCTAAACCCAATCACCTGGTTCGAACATTACATGTTTTCTTCCCTTGTTTGCTTGTGACACAACAAGCTTGTTTTTGTTCTTGATTAGTGACTTGACTTTTTCATGAAGCGATTTCACCAATTTTCCTTTCTTTTTGCCATCCAAACTACCATATTCATTCATAGGTAATGGAATTAAATCCAACGATATTAATGGATTAAAACCATAAACAATTTAAAAGGGAGTAAACGAAGTGGTAGAATGAGTAACACGATTATAAGCAAACTAAATGAAAGGTAAACAATCTTCCAAACTTTTCAAGTTCTTGTTGATTACCGTACGCTGCAATTGAATCATCGTCCTATTAACTACTTCAGTTTGCCCATCAATTTGTGGGTGACAAATCGTAGAATATAATAATTTTCTGCCTAACTTACCCACAAAACTCGCCAAAGATATCATTTGCGCGGATGTCAGTATGCCAGAGCACATCAGTTGCCATTTTTGAAGACCAAAGTTTAAGAATCAGAGCAGTACCAGAGTTGATTCACGTGTTTGGCCCAGTAAAGGATGCAACCACTAGTGGCTATTAATAATGGTCACTTTTATTGATGATTTCTCAAGGTATGTATAGGCCTTCCTCATGAAAGAAAAATATGAAATTCTTGCAAAATTCAAGGAATTCAAAAAGGAGACCGTAGATAAAACAAGAATAAAGATTCAATACCCATGCTTAGATAATAGAAAAGAATATATTTCTAATAAGTTCTATGATTATTTGCGAGAAAATGGAATTTGAAGATAGTTGATGTGTCCAAATATGCCATAGTAGAATGAAGTACCTGAGAGAGAGAGAGAGAGAGAGAGAGAGAGAGAGAGAGAGAGAGAGGGAGTTGTTACCTTGTAGAAATATGTTGAAGCATGCTACATGCCAAGAATGTTCTAAGAAGGTTGTGGGTCGAATGCATGAAGATCGTAGCTTACGAAATTAACAGGTTACCACTCAAATGGTTGGTTCTATCCCATCCTTCAAAAAATTGAGGAGTCACCACAACATATTATACATATTATAACATTTAAATATAGTATAATAACATTCATTAAAAGGCCTACTAAATTAAGTGGCCCAAAATCAGTGGCGGATCCAGGAATTTTTGGCGCACGGGCTAAAATTTAAAAGTCAATATAATAAATTTATATATTATATTAAAGTCAAATTCATTTAATTTGAAGCTGTTCCCGACGAGGTTTTGAGACATAAAATTCATCTATCACAGAATCTATATCTATCTTTTGAGCAAGTTCTCGTTCGATGAAGAGTGTCATACAATCAGCAAGAAATTCATCTTCCATTTTGTTACGAAGATCCGTCTTCACATTTTTCATTGCTGAAAATGCTTGCTCAGTAGTCGCGGTCGAAACAGGTAAAGTCAGTACAAGACGAATAAGTCTAGTAACCATAACATAAATCTCCGATCTTCTACTCTCAGTTAACTGTGACATAACTCAACAAGTGTAGATACTTGAAACCGAGATTCAGTTTTCATATCTAGCTCATAGTGTCGCAACTCATATTCTTACGAATATCTTCCTTTGAAAAAATCTTCAGGATAGAATTTCTCAGCAAGTGTACAAATATCGTGACTGTTAAATGATGCAAATGAATCCCTAGGATCCAACGCTACACTAAGTGTGAGAAGTTCAACTGATGTATCATTAAATCTTATATTTAATTCCATCAATACGTAATCTATTGCTTCATTGAAAATATCAAAGTGATAATGATGCTTCATTGTAATTGGATCACGAGAACGGCAAGGACCAACCTTATATATACTTTCTAGATCGGGTATCTCAATATCATGTTTTGAGCAAAGCTTTTTCACTTCCTCAAGAAATTCTTCCCAATCATCATCTCTTAATTTGTGGAGGAGTTTTGTTGTAGTAGAAACGAATCTCATAGCAGTCAGAATGTCTTGAGATTTCCTTTGAAGGCTTGACAAAGAACATCGGTTATTCTAATGATGGTATGCATTAAATGCAAACTAAACACGAAATCAAAACTTTTCATATGTTTGTAAGTACCACGAACTTCACCTCGAGATTTTCCATTTGGACAATGAACACTAAGATTTTCAAACACTGCGCAAGTTGCATTATACATATCTATTAAGCTCTTTATAGAGTCATAATGAGAACTCCAACGAGTTGCTCCTGATCGTTGTAAATTACCTACTTGATTTGCTCCACTTCCAGACTCACGCTCCCCGATAGCTAACATTTGCTCAATTTCAATTCTTTGAGCAGATTGTAACTCCATAACACGCTTAGGGGAAGAAGTGATAATGTTGATAATATTGTCCAGATGAGAAAAGAACTCCCAAATAACATCAACTTCTTTAGCTGCATAAACCAATACCAACTGTAATCGATGAGCGAAACAGTGGACGTAATATGCATACGGACAATCTCTAAGAAATAATGCCTGAAGTCCATTCCAAGCGCCCCGCATATTACTAGCACCATCATATCCTTGGCCTCTCATTTTTGACACTTCAAGTTCATGTTGAGCAAGAACATTTACAATCTCATTTTTTAGACTTGATGATGTGGTGTCGCTGACACTTTTGATATCAAAGTAGCGTTCCGTCAAAATACCCTGACCATTCACAAACCTCAAAATAATAGTCATTTGTTCTCTCTTAGATGCATCTTGTGCTTCATCAACAAGAATACAAAAGTATCCATCCCCAACTTCTTCACGAATCATCCTTCTTACTCTATTCGCCATTATGTGTAAGATTTCTTTTTGAATATTCGGAGCAATGTATTGGGCATTTTTTGGAGCATTTTTCAACACAACTTTATCAATTTATGTATTTGTTTTTGCCAAAATTTTTATCATCTCAATAAAATTCCCACGATTTAATGAAGATGAAGATTCATCATGACCTCTAAAGGAACAACTTTGAAATGCTAGCCAACGTGCACTTCGAATTGAAGTCTTTAAACGTAGACGACGTTTCTCAACTTCTTCATTCGATATGGTATGTATCACTTTATCAATATGTTGAGACGGTTTCATTAAATCTTTAGCTCTTCTCTCACACATATTATGTTCCGATGATCACAAATGAGTAAGAAATACACATTTTTCTCCGTCATTAACCCTCTTCCACTAGTTATATCCAGAAGTTATCAATGCCGAACAATTGGACAGATTTCCATCATCCCGAAAAAGATAACAATAAAAGCAATATGCTCTATCTGTTGTAGCGGATTTCCATCATTCCGGAAAAGATAACAATAAAAGCAATATGCTCTATCTGTTGTAGGTGAATATTCTAACCAAGGAAACTGGTTGAACCATTTTGCCTGAAAGCGACGAGATTGATATTTTCCTTGTGTTCTAGGATACTCAACAAGTCTTGGTTGATAAGGCCCAGCCTTTAGATATGACACTCTAATTTCATCCCACAGATTAGAAGGAAATTCTAGTATTTGCTTTCTTTTTCCTGGTTCTCGTTCAATGCTAATATTTGAGGATGAATGATGTTCAACTTCCAATGGAAATGAAGGTAGATCTTCAGTTAGTCCATCAGAAGTTGTACTTTCAATAGATTGTCCAGCCCTTTGGAAGAATGAAAACAAGTTCTTATTCTTCTTGAGAGGAGGTTGACATTCCATTTTCAATTCTTACAATTGCAAAAAAAAGGTAAAAAAGAAAAAATTAATCATCAATGATATTATTCTAGCGACAATAAAAAAATAAT